AATTTCTGCTTGTGTGTCACTTGACCATTAGACACATGTAAGTTTCAGGAGATTTAGTCAGAAACTAAAGCTGTGGATTTGGCAGCAGTTCTCATTCTCTTGAGCTGTCAGAACAGTGAATGTGAGCACCATTTATCCCCAATGGATTAGCACTAAAACTACTTGAAATAACACTTGTGGCATGCTTCATGCAGTGGTTAGTACTAATGGCTGGTAACTGCTGTGGTTGCTGTTATTAGATGCATAGCACACTTTAGAAGAAAGATAAGTATACTTTCCTGGACTGCAGGATGAAATCTTCTGTTCAGAATCCAATGCCTTCCAACACTTTCTTCCAAACAAATACATTTGGGGTTTCTTTGAAAATTAAGAACTAGTTTGACTATTATAAATTACTATTGATCTGTAATTTTTAATAATACATTACATTTTAAATGAGCTGTATAAATATAACATCTTAAACAAGAGTATAAATATGCATAAAACAAACTGTCCTTAAATTTGTATTAATAAATGAAAGCCTATACTCATTTTATTTTTAGAAATAGACTAATTATGACCATTAACCATTTAAAATCAACCCCCTTTTAAAGAAAACACATGTTTAAATACAATCATTTTTAGAATTTGTGTGTTGTTTTCTCCAAACTGCTTCATGCTTATTTCTTAACGAAGTATTTTTAGGGTTCATGAAGACCAGCTGGGGCATCTCGTTTCATCAAGCCACATTAGCCTATAAAGAATTCATGGGTTCTCATCTTATGTGGAAACAAAAGCAGAACCTATTTTCCAAAGTAACATATCCTTGGACTCAAATTTTGAAGTCCAGATACCTTTAAAAAATATATATGTATGTTTAGTTTAGCAGCTACCAGAATCAAAGAATTTTCAGCTGTTAACTCATTAACAGTCGAAAAATCCAAAGAAAACCAAATAATACACGTAATCCACACTCTCTGTGTATTTTCGTTTTACATGACTTATTTTCTTTACTCTATTACTTTTTAATATTTTATCTTTATGTCTTTAATCTATGACTGTCTGTATTTTTTCTCTCTCCTAATCCCATCTACAATTATCCAACACTGAGACTCATTCAGAGGTGTTTTTTGCCTGAATCCGTCTTATTGTGTATTTGTAATCATTTTCTGATCAGAAGAGTGTTTCTTTTTCTCTTTTAATGCTGAACAGGTATGGCTAGGACTAATGCTGTGGCTTTGTTTTTTGGCTCTGCAAAGTCCAACATGGCAGAGGTATGCTCACCACCTCTGTAAGCCATGTTCACCGCCCCAGCTCCAGGGATGTGTCAGTTCTATGCCACCATTAATCAACTTGTAACACTCTGCTCACAAACTCCATTTAAGTGCTCTGTAGCAGGTTCTACCGAAAGAGCCAGAGCTCTTCATTTCCTCATGCCACCAGTACAAACCAGGAAGCCATTTCTCTCGATCTCCTTCTTCTTCTTCTTCTTCTTCTTCTTCTTCTTCTTCTTCTTCTTCTTCTTCTTTCTCCTTCTTCTCCTCCTTTTCCTTCTTCTTCTTCTTCTTCTTCTTCTTCTTCTTCTTCTTTTCTTTTGTCTATTGAGACAGGGTTTCTTGTAGTTTTTGAGCCTATCCTGGACCTAGACTGGCCTTGAACTCACAGAAATCTACCTGCTTCTGCCTCCCGAGTGCTGGGATTAAAGACATGTGCCATCACTGCCTGGCTATGAATGCCATCTCTTAAAGAAGCCACCCTCTGTTTGGAGCCAGCAAACAGTGAATATCTAAAAAAAAAATGTGCCTACCAAGAAGATCCAATTGACTCCCATTTATTGTGTGTCTAGAAATCTTTTTTTTTTAATTTTTAGGCTTTATATAGATGTACATTGCCAAATGATGGGTGCCTTTAGACAACTGAAGACTGTATTTTCGTTTTTGGACACCCAGACCTAAATAATCCCACAAACCTATATTAATTACAACACTGTTTGGCCAACAGCTCAGACATATTCATAGCTAGCTCTTGTATATTAAATTAACCTATTTCAGAAATAACAGAATGGGATAAAATGTGTAGTCAGCAATATCTATTTTGTTACATTAATAAAATATGAGTATTCACTCAATAGATATATAATTACATAATTAAGACATGTGCCATTTGTATGTCAATGAAAATTATTCACTATCTTTCTCATATATTCAGCATTGGACAGATATTCAATGTAGACAGGAAATGAAAGACAAGGGTTACAGAAGCCAGGTCACAGGATTAGTGTAATCCATGTAAAGACAAAAGATCAGTCAGAAGAGAAAGCCAGATTCATGTCGGGCACTCTTCAGAGATTGTATTTTAGCAGGAAACCTTCTCAGCTGTAAAGAAAAAAACTGACCTGTCACACTTGCTGGACCTCAAATCATCATGCTTCCTTTATTAGAATATTGACTCACACATTGAATAATATCTTTCATAGCTTTGTCTTTCACTCACTGGAAGGCCTGGGGACTGAATGCCAGTTATACATAATCATCACAACTGCAATGTGAAATTTCTACATTTATCTAAATATTTGTGTATATAAACAATGTGTGTTATATTAAATTTGTATACACACACCTAAGTCTGCATATAAAAAACTGTATAATATTTAAACATATAATGAGAAACTAATATATATATATATATATATATATACACACACACACACACACACACACACACACAGTTTGTTTTTGCAGTTACAAATAAGTTAAGAACAACATATATTCGACTGGATATCTAGTGAGCTCTGTAGTAATTTGTTCATTATTTTACTAAATATGAATCAGTCTTTTTAAATCTTATTTAAATTAGTCAACTATTTGAAGTGAATAGGTTATGTAGTTTAAAATATATGCATCCTTTCATGATGAAGGATTAGAATAAAATAAAATGTTATTAATAATAATTTAAAAAGTGTAAACTCAAATGAAATGGCCTGTAGACTTTCAATGAGGCCAAGAACTGTTCTCCATTGTGATTCCTCATAGCAACAGTGTGGAAGTCACAACCCTTTGTCATTTTGTGCAAGGATACTGGAGTGAAGAAGAGTGTTCTTGCCCTCATTGTGAAATATGACCTGTATCAAAGATGTGGCATATATCTGGTTCTGAATATTTATTTCAAAGCTAAATATATTTATAGTATTAAATATAGACAAAGAAACATAAAATATTTTATAACAAATGATATCTGTAATATTAAAAGTTAATTATAATTATATGTTCTCTGAGTTAAAATCCTTTTTGTCATCTATTTTAAGGAATACTAATTGATACATTCATTTTTATTTACATAGCAAAGTGGTTACAATATTGAGCACAATTTTATCTTCTTCTCCTTCCACACAGACTCTTGTCTGCCTTTGAGAATATACTGAAACACCCTAAGTCTGCTCTTAGAGCCCATTTCTAATGCATGGTCAACCATGTTGCCCTGATTCTCATCTTTTCTGTTTGTGATTTTACCTGTACTTTCGGCTTACCCCCTTCCCAGTGCCAGTGTAAAGTCTGTAAATTACTAGAGTCTGAACCCTTCAGCTCTGCTTCCCGATTCCTCCATTCTCAGTAGTTGTGTAAGACCAGCAAGCGATGACAGTTTCAACCATTCGTCTGCTCTTTCTGCTTCTCTTCTTCCCGGTGCCTATATGAGGGCTGTAGCTACTGGAGTTTTGCTTCCTTCATCTCCATGCCTTGCTTCCTTCAGTCCTGTGCCTAGGAGAACGTGTAATCTCTAGGCTTTTCTCATTTTACTTAGATTCTACACAGAAGTGGGGTCATACGACAATTTGTGTGGTTGATTTATTTTATGAGTATAATGCCCTCCAGATTTATCCATATAGTGAATTAGAACATCAAGAAATACTAACCACATTGATATTTTAACTACTTTTTTCACACCTTACTGACATATCAACTTTAATACTAATGTTGCTCATAGGTAGAGTTGCTTATAGATAGGGTCATCCTGGTGCTGACTATAAACTTGAGGCTCATAATTCCTGGTGTGAACAATTTCCTGCTACTCCACAAGAGGCAGAATTAGATTTGAAATCAATTAGTATCTTGTAGAAACATCTGTGTTTAACTACTATACTATGAACAAACAAATGTTAAGACTGAACTGTGGCACTCACTGTCATCATTAGTGGGTGGGACAGGAAATACTGCTGTTAAGTTAATCCTTCAAAGAAAAGTTTCTTTTTTTTTTTAATCCATTCAGAAATCTGCATGTCTGGATTATCTGTAAAACATATTGGGTATAGTGCTGAAATGGCTATGAAAACTCGATTCAAAATAGGAGAGAAAAATGAATGTAAACAAAAAAGCAAAAGCAAGGGCTGGAGAGATGGCTCAGTGGTTAAGAGCATTGCCTGCTCCTCCAAAGGTCCTGAGTTCAATTCCCAGCAACCACATGGTGGCTCACAACCATCTGTAATGAGGTCTGGTGCCCTCTTCTGGCCTGCAGACATACACACAGGCAGAATATTGTATACATAATAAATAAATAAATAAATATTAAAAAAAAGAAGATAAAAAAGCAAAAGCAATTTAGTTCATTTGAGAATCTGAATTCCTGTCTACTCTGGGAGTGGACCATAGTAAATGTCCAGAGTGTATCTCATTTGTCTAGAGAAAAAAATTCCTCAATCTGTGATTGGCACACTTCTTCGAACACGTTGGTGTGTTATCTACTCTCCTGAAAACCCTAAAAACAGCAATGAGCATGTAAAATTGTCTCCAGGATGCTCCCCCTGCATCAACATTTTGATGTACTATTCCTCATCTACACTTGAAAGAAGAGAGAATGCATTCATGCTTAGTGAGAGCCTGTATTCAGAGCAGTTTGTTCCTGTGATAAATATGGTTAAGTCTTTACGTGAAAGTGTACAGTTTTCAGGTAAATGTGTCTTAGGCATATTGCCAGATATCATGACAGTTTTTATATTTTTTTTAATAGAAACATTCCTTTCTTTCTAGGAGCAATTTTTGATGAATCTGCTAAAAAAGATGACGAGGTATTCCGCACAGCAGTTGGTGACCTCAATCAGAATGAGGAAATCCTTCAGACTGAGAAAATCACATTTTCAGTGACATTCGTTGATGGCAACAACCCTTTCCAAGCTGTTCAAGAAGGTAAGGCCATCAGTGATCTACTATCTATTGTGATTATATTATTTTATTGTTCAGTAACATGACAATAGATTAATAAACAGCAGTTCATCGTAGGCATCATTCTCTGTGGTTTTGCTAACTAGATACCTTTCTCTGAGAGTGCTTATTATGTAAGTATTTTATCTTATATTCAACTTTTGAAGGCACATCATATGAAAAGGTTATTTTGTGGATTGAAATATGATGTGAAAGAGCACATACATTTTACAGTCAAGAACTTTACAGCATTGTTATGACATCAATAGAATGGAACATTCCAGTAAAATATGACTGTCTATCAGAATTTTTGCTTTGGATTTCTCTGTTATTACTGCTGACTTGAGTGTTGTTACAACTTGCAATGACATTTCAGGTGTACACATGAAAAATGCATTGCTGCAAGGAAAACCTAGAGACGCTATCCAAAAATCAGCAGTGTTACATACACTGTGTTCCTAAAGTCCTGAATCTGGCTGTACTATTTTATTTTCTACAAGTTACCAAACCTAAATTTAGTATCTTCCTTCCTGATTTTCATGATATTGAATTTATAGTTCTCATGCACAAGCATAGTCTGCATTGCTAGTTCTTATATTAATGGATTTCTCTGAGTCTGATAATCTAATTAAGTGCTAATGCCATTCTTTGGTAAAGTACTCATAGGTGGGGAATTATTTCTTTATGGTAACTATGGCTATAAGTTATTTTTGTGTTTCTCCCCATATTTCAATGCTGAAACACAATTCTGGTCACGATGACATTAAGAGGTGAGTGATCTGGAAGATGCTGAAGGCATGGGAATCTGCCTTTATATAGGGTTAGTGCTTTTAAAAAGGAGGTAGAGTATGCATGCTGTTCCTTTGCCTTCTGAGGATACAAGGACACTTTCTGTAGAATGAAAAACCAGCACTCAGTAGTCAGAGTCTGTTAGCCCCACAATCTTGGGCTTCCAACATTCAGAAATGTGAGCAGTAAGTTTTCATTTACTGTAAGTTACTAATTGAAAGATCTTTTCTTATAGTTACAGAGAGTAAGAAATTGGTCTGTTTTATGCTTTTTTGTGACTGTACTTTTAGGATAGTGAAGGGCAGAGTAATATAGTCAAATGACTTGGTTTTGTGAAACATTTAAATCAAATTTGAGAGAAGAAACAAAAATCATCAAAATGGAAATAGTAAATTGGGTTGACAGTAAATGGTATCAAAAGATTGACATTGAGCAGATGAGAAAATAAGCCCAAGTGTCTGGAACACGCACCCCTTTTATCTATTACTGTAACTTTTTGGAGTTTGGATTGTCTGAGAGAGGACTCATGTGCAATCATTTACTCTGTTCATAGACTGAATTTTGTACCTGTGCACCAAAAATTATTGTTTATTGCTGATTGGGTAGTATAAAAAGACTCATAAACAGAATAAAAAACCATTTAAACAGAAAACTGAAAATGTTTAATGATGATAAAATAGATTTTGATTTCTAGTAACTGCATATTGATTCAAGACCAAATTAAAAATGCATCCAAATATTTCACATTAAAAACATAGTTATACTATGACTTAAAGTTCAAATAGTGTGTATGCTAAAAGATCTTTTATGTAAGCATTTATAAGTTGTCTAATATTAGAATCGTTAAAGGAGTTTGAAAAGCAATGTAAAATTTTAAGAAGATATTTGATAATTTACAGAGTGTATGTTCTCTAACAATTATGTTCTCCGTGAATGCTTCAAGACTTCTTTTGACACCTAGTGCTTTCATGACCGCGATGGGAGCAGGATACAAAGAGGTCTGACTGACTTTTTCTTCCACCTCTGTATGTGTCAATCTTAACTTCTCTCCAAATCAATCTCAAAAATGCAATTTTACACTAATGGCTTTTAAATGTCTCCCTTCATTTAAAAAGTAGATTGGAGAAAATTATAATGCTTGAATAAATTCTCTTATACCATTTTTACAGACTACATTAAAAACTGCTTTTTTTTTTTTAATACTGCAGTGTTATTCTTTTAGACTTTGCTTTGTGAATCCATCCTGCTGTTAGATAAGTTCAAGAAACAAAAATGTCTCTCAACAGAACTGTAGGGACTTGGAAGAAGTTTTGGCGCTGGAAAAAGATTGGGAAGGAAAATAAGATGACCAGATGGAGTCCAGTAGATATCTGACAAGTAGGCTGAGGGAGCTTGACAGATTGCATGGATAGTGTTTGATACTAACAAGATGTTCTGTTTCAGTTATGTCGATGGGCTGTGCTGGTGATGAGCCTGAAATAAGTTACAGCTTTAGAGAAGCTCTGTGTCACTCTTTGGTATCTAGAAGATTTCTGGAGAGATTTTTGTTTGTTTGTTTTTGTTTCTGAGATAGGGTTTCATAGTGTAGCTCATACCAGACTGGCCTAGAACTCGCAGAGATCTACTGCTTCTGCCTCCCAAGTGCTGGGATTAAAGGTGTAACCCACAACTCTCTGGCTGGATTTAGATTTATTTTATTAGTAAAAATAATAATTTGCAATGATACCATAAGAAAATGGTTCAAAATGATCCCATAGGAACTCTCTAGACTTCATGAGAAGAAACATTTAAAAGTACCCTTTCTTTAAAGAGTATCAAGAAATTTAGAACAAAAATGTCATCAGAGATGGCTACTTTTAAATGATTAACTCTTCATAGCAATACTTTTACAATCTATTAAAAAATAACTCAATATTATTAATTTATTATTTGAAAAACTTCAATGATATTATTCTTATTATTTACACACAATTTCTAACGATCTTGTATAACTTACACAAAATTTGCAGCTTAGATACTTTTCTGTTATATGTGCATTTATTTTATTGTCAAAGTACAATATTTAAAAATATAGCATCATCCAGAAAGGAGAAATTTGTTTAATAATGAAAGAAGAGAGAAATCTAATAGAAAAATTTATCACTCAAAAGATGAATCACAGTTCATAGCTTATATTTAATTCATTTAAAATTGCATTTAACTAACCATATTAAGACCAGAGTTTGGAGCTGGGAATGTTAAAGTACTAATCCACTATGCATAGAACCAAGAGTTCAATTTTCAGACTCACTGAAAGATATTTGAAGAGTCAATTTTTAAAATGTGATATTTCTATTGCCAACAATTAATCATGGAGTAGCATGTATCAGTAAACTGCTGATTGGTTCTTGAGATAATACTAATGATTGACGTCACTCTGCACCTTCTGGTATAGGACCTTGATGATAATCATTGATTGTAATGTAAAGTTCTATAAATCCATATACCTATTTTTTTTTTATTTTTGAGACAGGGTTTCTCTGTAGTTTTTTGGTTCCTGTCCTGAAACTAGCCTTTCTAGACCAGGTTGGCCTCGAACTCACAGAGATCTGCCTGCCTCTGCCTCCCGAGTGCTGGGATTAAAGGCGTGCGCCACCATCGCCCGGCTCATATACCTATTATAAAACAGTGTTTACATTACATTTTTTGATGAGCAGTGGTAGTTTTGAATATATTTCTCAGATTATAACTATAATCTTAATTCAAACATCTAAGTGAATAACAGAGACAAAAATCTGTTGTTATAAAAATAACCTAAAAAGAAATTTCTTTCAGCAAATTATTTTTTACTTATTAGTCTATTTTATGAAAAACAATATTAAATTCATATAATAAATTGTTCAACAATTAACCAAGGACAAATTATTCTTCATACCTTAACATGACCTTACCTTGCTTTTTTGTTTTTGATTTCTTTTTTTTGTAAAATATTTTGATAAGTAGGGGACAGGACTTTCTCCTTTCCAGATGGCGCGTAAGAGAAAATAATTTCACCATATCTATCTAAAAATCCAGTTGCTATGTGTGAGTGGAAATATGAGTCATTTTGAAATGTTGAATTGGAGGCAAAGCTACTCAGAACCAGAGAGGTGAAATAATTATTCTAATTATTTTACAGTACAAGCAGGTATGAGTAATGAAGAAGCAAACAAGAACTTAAGACAAGTGGTATAAGTTTTAGTTACTTTAGTAAATTCAACTGTGCACACACATACACACTTGTATATATATATATTTATGTATATGTATATATACATATATATATATATATATATATATATATCAAAATTTGTCCAAGATTTCAGAAATACTGTAAAGAATGGAAAGGATGGATATGTATTTGCTTTGGTATATATTTCATGTGAATTATTAATACTCATTGCATGGGATAGTGGGAGAATTCCAGTCTAGATGATAAACATACTTATACTGTATAAATCAATAATATTCTTTCACACTTGGAATTCCTTATCTGTTAAAAATAAAAAATTCAGAACATGCATGGTATATCTTAAAGGTACTCTGACCCTGTGGTTTTTTATGGCTCTGTTTTGTTATGACATATCCATGGTGTTTAATTTATCCTTTGAAAAGGCTTTCCATTTCTGAAATGTCTTCTATATTTTCTGTGATTGATTTTAAAATAAACCTGCCACCTCATCAACTGAGGCAGCAGAGTACAGAGAGCTTGTCATCATCACCATGTTAAAGAGATCCTGAGTAAAATGGGAGCATGGGGACCTTGGGGACGCGTTGAAGGGAAGGGGAGAGGCAGGGAAGAAAGCAGGGAAAAATGTAGAGCTCAATAAAAATCAATTTAAAAAAGAAAAACTAAAAGAAAATAAAGAGATGATCCATTGTTAGACTTGAACAAAAGGATTACGGCTCCATTTCCTGTTTTGTTTTCATTAGTAGTTTGTTTCCTCTATGTATCAAACCACAGACATGTTCCCAATTTTGTTTCCCTCTGGACAAAAGACCTGAGCAATAAAACTTAATTGTTGAAAGACTCATTTTATGATGGTTTTATAAGGACTTGAGCATATCATGTTGGGGAGGGCAAGGCTTCAGGCTCAGCCTTTTTCTAGGTAGTGGAAGATAGTGCTTAAGCAGCTTTACAATACAGCAGGGCATACCTGGACCAGAGGCTGGGCTGC